TAGTTCTCCATATCCAATAACTGAAAGTGAGCCTCATATTTTATTTTTTATTTTTTATTTAAATAAGATACTTATCTGAATTTTGAAGTGTATTTGTAATTTTATAAATATAACTAAATAAAAATAATTAAATAATATTTTAAAAAAATTAACGAAATAGCTCTAAATTTATGTTGGTCAATTTTTATTCAAAATATTTTTTATTAATTTTATTCAATCGTATTTACAAAAATGAGCCTAAAATCAAAATTTTTGAATAATAGCTCTAAAAGGTGTTTGTGCACCTTTCAAGTGTCCACATGCTGTGGACGCAATACCAACCCTACATAGAAAGATTAGGGGCTAAATAATGAAAGGATATAAATGGTGTTTGTGCACCTTTCAAGTGTCCACATGCTGTGGACGCAATACCAACCCTACATAGAAAGATTAGGGGCTAAATAATGAAAGGATATTGTAAGGTTGGTTGAAGGGATTGTCTAAAGCTATTTAGATTAGTCAACAATCATAATGCAAAATGGTTGTCTATCGTACAATAGGTAAGTACTATGAAAAACCCTAATCTTTGGAGAGCAAGTAAATGGGACCCTTGATCCTGAAAGAATGCTATGAAAACAAGTATGGGTGGCATTTAAATTTAGTTGTAGTTGCGTGTGCATTCTTACCTTAATATATATACAGGAAAATGTTAAAAAAATACATCCAAATTATGAAAAAAAAGAAAGAAAAAGGAGCTATAAATAAGGACCTCAAATGTTCCTCATCCACAAAGTCATAGGCCTTCTCAAAGCCACCAAAATAAATTGTACCTTACGTGGGCCCTGATGGCAAAACCCTTAGGACCTAGAACATACGTCAACTTGCTTTTAGCTATAAATATTGAAAAATCCAAGCTTACGTACTTACCAAAAAAATATATATCCAAGCTTGCGTGCAATTTTATGTCAGGAGGCTGCTAGGGCTAAGCCCACATAGGTAGAAATGTGGATTTCAGTCACACTCTAGTCATCACGTTGTGGTTTTTATTTTCACCACTAACACTACCTTACTGATAACTTCCAAAAACTAACTCCTAATCTATTTGAAAAAACATATAGGGGTTTATCCTACCAACTAAATTACCCAAAAAAAAAAAAAAACATGAATATGAAAAAATAAATAAATTTTAAAAGCTAAAAATAATAATTCTATTAAGAAAATATTTGGACCGTTAGTTTCAATTGTTTTTAGATGAACCACATATTTGCATATTAAAGATGGATGCTTTATACTTCCGTACCTTATATGTAGAAATGCGGTCTAGCCCACAAGAAACTATTTTCCTTTTATGTTAAAACTTCTCGATTATGACAAAATATAAAAGCTTTACCTTGTCCTAGACTTTATGATGCAACAAGGTTGATGTTTCTTTCCTATTCCTTTATATTTCTTGCTTGTGAAGAGTCTACAAATATCAGCGATCGGACAAATATTTGTGCTGATTTCGAATCGCATAAGTTAGTTAAGAATCAGGAGTGAAACAATTCTTGGCAAAAACAACCTCTTTTATATTTCTTGCTTCTAAAGAGTTTACAAATATCAGCGATCGGAAAATATTCGAGCTGATTTGGAATCGTCTGAGTTAGCTAAGAACCAGGAGCCAAACAATTCTAGGCAAAAAACCTTGAAATTAATGGGGTTTGTCATTGTTTGATGATATAATTTTTCTCATTAAAGATTGTCTGGTTCAACCCGGATTTGGTTGAGGGGCTCGGGCTCGGAACCCCGGCAAGTCAGATCCTGATTCATACTTTTAAAACCATACAACAGGCAAGTCAGATCCTGATTCCTACTTTTAAAAGCCTACAACAAAGTATAATGGCCGAACTACCCTATTCGTTGGACCCGGTTTGACCGAGACCAAGCCATGTTATACTAAGGTTGCTCATAACTAACCGAATATAATGGTCTAAACTTGGGTCCACACCGCAGTCACAATTATCAAATATTATTTATTTATTTGAGGTGGGGGAAGAGTGGTTATAAGGATAATCATGTGTATGTATTTTTAATCAGGAATTCATTAGGTAAGTTTGAGACTGTAATAAAAGAAAAAGTGTTTTGTGAGTTAGCATAGCACGCATAATCACAAATGTCCAGCTTTAAGATGAACATCACGAACTAAAGATTCCTATACAGGGAAATATTTTAATAAAAATGTTTTAAAATTCTATGTTATCATATTTTATTTTTTATATTCGTGATCATCATAGTGTAGATCATGGATCAATACAAATTTGTATCCAAGATCTATATAAATAATGGGTGTTCAAGGGAGCCCCATGAAAATAGTATGAGTCAGAGGGACTCGTAAAAACCGGATCCTTAATAAAAATACCGAATTCAAATTATACAAAAGAAAAAATATAAATATGTTAAAGGATTTTGAATGACAAAGGTGACAACAATTTCAAATGAACATCAAAATTAAAGTATTAAAATTATTATCTTACTTGATGGCTTTAACGTACACATCCATTATTAGCTCCTTGCAAATTGCTCCTCATTATCCTTGGTGAGATTTTTAGAGCAATTTTTAGGTAAACGGCATGCATGCTCTCAAATTCAAATTGATAATTTACTTTCCAATTGCATATATGTTGTTGATATACATTTGGTCCACCAAATAATATGAAGATTCTTATAGGCAGTATAATTTATACTGATAAAATAAGAAAAATATTATTTAAAGTTGCAACCTTATATTATAGAAGTAAAGTACACCTAACAAATCTAGTAGAAAAGAGTGTTCCAAAGATGTAAACGCTTTCAATTGATAAAGAAAAAAAAAAGAGCTTCAAGTTCTAAAATATTGCATCCTGTAACAATTTATCTGGATCGCCTATTTTCACAAATTTTAAATATTCATAGATATACTTGATCTACATCATTTTTAGTATTTTAGATTTCACAATTAAAGTTAAACATAATTTTTCCTATTTTCGGTACTAGAATTACATCTTCTGACAAAATATAAAAATACTTACTTGTATAGTTTAAGGTGGGGACCTTATTTAACCTCACCCATAAAATAATTATGGCCTCAAAGGAGTTTTGAATTTTAAATAGTGGAGAATCAAGAAAAAGCAAGAGATGGCCCAATAGGTTGTTATTTATTCAAGTGCTCTTTGTTCTCTTTGTCCCAAAGAAAGGTTGTTGGGTCGTATTGTGTATGATTTTCTAGGCAGCCAAGTCATCAACTCTATCCATAAACACAAACACGTCATTTAAATTATAAATTTTGCATCATACATCCATGCTAACGTCTCCCTCCCATTTTTAAGAAGCAGCATAAAAAAAACCATATGAAATGATAACTAAAGTTGAGGCTAATTTCTTTTTCTTTTGTTTTTTTTTAATGTTTTGAGGCTAATTTCTCATAAGAAATCCCAAAATCGTGAAAGTAACCTCGGAAAAGCTTATCAAATAATAAGTGAAGTTCAGGTTAACATCTCTTTAACAATCCACAAAAATAAGGGAGGGAGGCTCTGAGTGAGTGAAGCCTTAAGCTCTGTTTGGATGTCATGGCAGTCATATTCACACTTTTTTTCTTTATATTTAGAGCAAGGTTCCATTCCTAAGTTAGCAATTAAAAAAAAAAAAAAGTTTTATTCCTAAATTTGCACCATGAATAATGGCATGCCAATCGACACACCACTCTTGTTTAGGAACAAGATCAAGGCAATCTTAGGGCTAGAACCATAGAAATCTATACAGGGACTTAGATGTATAAAGGTTCTATCATCACTCGAAAAAAATGATCTAAATTTCCTATTTTTGCTTACTTTTGGATTTTTATCTTTTCTTTGAAGATGCCGCGTCATTGGATGTGGTGACTCGGTGTAGGGTGTAAAAAGCCTGGTTGAGGTAACCTCCGGTATCTTTTCTTTTATTCGTTTGTTCTTTTCTTTTATATTCTCAAGCACAATATTAGGTTATATGAATGGCATCAAGTTGTTGATATTTATTTTATTGATGTGTTATTTATTTTTAGAATTTCTATTGTTTGTAATAAGACCATAAGTGATTGATCTTGTTGCCAAAATTATACAAAGTGATTATTATTAAAAAAAAAATTGTATTTCCCCGATAAAAGATCACATAGGTCTATCTTTCAAACCATATTTTTTGACACCACTTGAAGGTGGGCTCTAATTTGATAGTTTAAAGCTTAGGCTCTATACAAACTGCCACTTTAAAAATTTGTTTATTTAGACAGTCAAACTGCTTAAAGTCTAACCAGCTAAAATCGGTTAAATATTAATTTTTAATTAAATCTAATTTTTATCTAAGACCAAACTGGTCAACAGTCGGATGACATTTCAATATGGTTACGATAACTACGGTTTCACCGATCAATTTCCCAACGAGCAGTAAAGGGTCTCTTTGCATACTATTGCTCCTAAGAATTTGATTTGCAAGAAATTTGAGGGTATTTTAGACTGGGGATTGTTATAAAGACATCATTTCTTTTTGGTATAATGAAATCACAATTATTTATAAAACATGAAAACATGAAATCACGTTGTTTGTGTTTTTAGAAAGTTGAAAAAGAATTCAAATTCTTTTAAACTTTGAACTTGGCCAATGAAATGAGAAAAATTGTTTCATGCAGGCTGGATCACATTTCTATATATGCGATCCAGAAAGTCTAACGCATCAAGATGGATTGCAAGTAGGTGTTCCATCTAGAAACAATAGAAACTATCTGTCTAAATGTTGTTTTATTAGAATTATTATTTTTAATTTTTAAAATTTATTTATATTTTCATGCTCAAGATTACATGTCCTTAAAAATTAAGTCTTAAAATCCACCTAAAAAAAAAAGTTGTTTAAAAGACCGCATTTGGGGTTGGACGTATAGAAACCGGGCATGAAATAAATTTACCCTCCTAATTTCACATCCAAGAATAAGGATTAATTGTGAGCACGGCCAAAGGTAAATGGTTTGATTATATACTTTCCCTTTACACTAACATCGATTCATCGAGCCACTGGTTCTTTACTCGCTTTCCCATCGCGATTAACTTTCCTTCCCTCTAGCCTTTGCACAGTGATCTCTCTCTCTCTGATCCCGCTTTCTCTCTCTCTTCAACATCTCCTTGCAACTATTTCTTGCTTCCCAAGGTATCTCTCTAACAGCTCGTTCCAGTATTTGTCACTTCACAGCAGTATTTGTCATTTCAAAGGTACGTTTTGATTATCAATTCTCTCTCTTTTCATTGTCTATGGTTATTAATTATCTGTTATTCTTAATTCCTATCTGTTATTTTACCATTGTAACCTTCTCAATTCAATTTACATGCCCCATGTTCGGTTAAATGTGCTCAAACTCATGGGATGGCCACATTTCATGTTATTCTTGAAAGAAATCAATTCAAAAGGCCTGTATTCAGTTAATTTTTTAAAAATACTATGGGATAATTCCATTTCTTGTGTTTCTTGAAAAAAATCAGCAGAATAATATGTTTGGGGAACACTTGGGTATTTCCCCTTGTAGGCAGATGGAATTGTAGTGGTAGGGCATGCTGGTTTTTCTAATATATCCCATATTAACCAGAGTTTCAACTTGGTTCTCGCTTGATTGCGAATGTTGATTCAAGCCATTTGAACCAAGTTTATGCTATCTCTTTCTCTCTGTGTGTGAATCTGCTTCTGTTTACCTATATACAACAAGTAAAATGCGAATTTTCTTGTTTCTCACACTGATGACAGATTCATGTCTAGCTAGAGCCGCAGGAGAATAATCGTGAGTTTAAAACGTTACACTGGTGTTGCTTTTTTGCCTTATTTTTTATCACCTTTTTTAAATAGTTGATTAATGTCGACTTATTTTTGGTGTAGTAAAAGAAGAATGCTGAATATTTGTTCAACTAATGGGAAATTGATTTGTGATTTAAGTTTCATAATCATATATCTGGTCATTCTTTTAAACAACTAATTCTAAGAGAATATGAAATTTATTTTAATTGAAAAACTCATGAGATATACTTTTCATAAAATACAAATGGATTGTTGATTTGTGGTAAAATTATTTGTGGAAAATTAGGTATGTTTCAATCGAAATGTGGAAATTGACCTAATGAAGTTTGTTTTGTTACAGTAGACAAAGGAGTGAAAGAATGAACATGAAAATGATAGGATATTTGGAAATTCTATTCGCTAACTTACTGGAATGAACAATGGATTCCTTGAAAATTAAATGTTATCAATCAAGTTAAAATCGAAAACTAGATTTTTTAGATTATGTAAATGCTAACTGGACAGTTACTGAGTACATGTTTCTCTATATGGGCACATTTTTTAGAATATACAGATTCTAACATTCCTGTTCTTGTAAATGGGCTACTCCAATGAGAAAAAAAAATTATGGATGCAGTTCATTTATAAATAGAAATGGTAAGGAACTAATGATATTATGCCCATCTTCTAAAATTTGATGAATTTATTTTATATAAATTTATGTAATGTGTATCGACTTCATTTAAAATAATGTTTTTGGACTAATTTCTCGGAAAAGGAAAGCAAAATACATATATTAGGTGTAGTTAAATAAGTTTTAAAATGTTGGATTAAGTACTCTTACTATCTATATAGGCACACTTTTGCACTGAGGCTGGTAGTTTTCAGGTCAAATATGATGATATTCCATTGGGAGGGGTGTTTTGGTTGGGCTCACAAGAATATATTGTGATCATATTAGCTTTAGTAGAGTTTTAGCAGCCTAATTAAAACGCATATTATTTTATTTTGCAGATCCTAACTTCAGATTAGCCAATAACAGGTACTACCAATAGTTAGTCATGACTTGCACTTGAGGGAAAGTGTAGAGATTGTTAAAATAGTGAGGTGAATATGAAGATGTCCCTTTGAGTGGGGTGCTTTGATTGCGGTTGGACAAATTTTTTGCCCCAGTGAAATATAATAAATCAACCTCTACTTTTCCACAAATGATTTGCACTTGGTGGGATAAAGGATTTAGAAAGTCAAATAAATCTTACTCAATATGTTGCAAATGTCATATAAGTTTGTGCACTCATGTGTTGACGTGCTTTACTTTTAATCGGTAGCCAGGAGATTGATGCCCATTTATAGGCTTCACATTGAATTTTTTTATATAAAATAGTTAGTTCTTAAACTGCATCCGTTTGGTAAATTTGGTTAAAATGGATCAATGCATCTAATTTCTATCTCTTTTGAACTTCAGTCAGGATGTCCCATGGCCTTTGGCGTAATGGTTTCAAATGTGATTTGCAATGTAGTTTGTATTAGGGAAGTCAAAGGTTCGGTTATTGAAGGTCTCCCCTAATCCAAAATTTCAAATCATATGAAATTACAAAAATATGAAATAATAATTTTTAAAGTTCTTGTCAAGATGTGTAGATTTTGATATCTGCTTAATCTATATGTAGAAATTTTGGTGGGCCAAACTTTCCTGGAGTGAAGTTGACTTGTGCATTATCTGCCTGAAATATTCACGGGGCAAATTTCCTTTTGTGTTTGCCAACTTGACTTCTTTGTGACTATGCATGGATCCCTTGCAAAGTTTGGATCTTTATGTTGACACTTTGTTCCTCGGGGCTACCTGATTGGCTGATTTACAGGAGGCAGTTGAAGGGTTCCAAGCTTGAAATTTGTCTTAAAAACAAATATTTCTTACCCTTTCTCTATTTTCTTTTGACGCTTTTGTCCTATCTTTAGACCCCATTCTATTTTATGATTTGTTCGCCAAGACGCCTTGTCTTTCATTAAGAACTTTGCTGCATAAATGATTCTAACAAATTTTATTCCTTCTTGAGAATGCTTTGGTTTAGAGTATCTTGGTTCTCTTATTCATCTTTGATTTATCTATGTGCTGTCAGTACTTGGAACAAATAGAATCATGTGCTCTTGTAAAAAAGGAAAAGAGTACAGTTGTCATTAAAAATATCCTGAAGTATTCCGATAATATGACTCCATGATAATACTCTTTACTGATCCCTTGAAGGTATTTTGGTCAGTTGTTATTTTGTATGTTCGGACATGAATTAGGGTTATGGTTTCTTTTTAATATTTTTTCAGGCAAGGAGCATCCCCTTTTAATACAGCAAGAACTTGTAGCTCAACCAGAGGCACTTTTAACTATGAGTCTGCCTGGTTATACTGTGGAAGTCACTAATCTCTCCCCTAATGCATCTGAGAAGAATGTTGAAGATTTCTTTGCATTTTCTGGGACAGTTGAACATGTGGAGATTACAAGGTATCATTAATTCTCATTGGAATTGCTTTCCCTTGTTCTTATTTTGTACTATAACTATATAAAAAAAAGGAACTCTGTTTTTTTTTTTAGTATAGTTTGGCAAACAATTTTCATTTAATAATTACCAATAAAAATTCAATTTTTATTAACAAGAGATAATATTAAAGGACGATAAGTCAATAAGAAGAGAGAAATACATGGAATTGTTTCTGTGTTTATGCCTCTTTTGCCCCACGATTTTTCTTTTTTTAAGAAAACTTTCTACTGAATTTAAACCTTCTCCCTATTTCTTTGAGAACTTCCATCCAAAATTTGTTGGAATCCAGTGAAAACCCATTTGGAGTCTTGACTTGATCGGTAATGTATAAGAAAGAACTTGGTTTCTTTGTGGATATTTTTGTGTTCGTGTCCAAAATTTGAGGTGCGACGGTTGATGGGTGGTCCAGTTTTCCCTTATCTTGGTGTCTGCCATCCGAGTTTTGGTTCTGTTTAGAGTTAGTGGAGATTCAGTGGGAAACACCTTAATTAGCGAAGACTAAGTGGAAATACCATGTGAAATATGACCAATTTTTTTGGAAAGAAAGACCAATATCTTCTTATCTATACCCAAATCTCTCTCTCTCTCTCTCTCTCTGTATGGAAATATTTTGGACAAAATTGTGTAGGTAGAATCACTGTTAGAGGTTTTCAAAACTTAGAAATCTTTCCTTATTCTGGTTTCGGCCATATGCTGTTTGGCTTAGGGGAAATCCAGTTGGCGTTTTGACTAAAATGGAAAATAGGGAAAAAAGCCTCTCTCTCTCTCTCTCTCAGTGTCTGTGTGTATTGAAATATTTTGGACAAAATTGTGTAGGTAGAATCACTGTTAAGAGGTTTTTAAAACTTGGAATCTTTCCTTGTTCTGATTTCAGCCATACACTGTTTTGGAAATCCGCTTGGCATTTTGACTAAAATGGAAAATAGGGGAAAAAGTAATTTTGATTTGACTTTAATTTGTGGTGCGGAGTCAAAAGAAACTCATACCAATATTTGAGGGAACAGTGGTTCTTACATTGGTGTTTATTGGTATGACAAACACAGGTGCGGGGATTATGCATGCACTGCTTATGTGACATTTAAAGAACCCTATGCGTTGAACACTGCGGTCTTGCTTAATGTAAGTTTTATTGGAAGATTCAGTGATTTTGTGCTTAGAATTATTTGAATTTGATTTTAGCTTCACATGAAAAGTTCACCACCCCAGAATAGATAAATTAAGTCCTTTAAAGCAAGTACCTTTGGAGTCTCTGTTATTAGGAGGCTTATAAACGTTCTACATATTGAATGGAGGAAAATGGATGACAGGAATACTACTGGCAATAAAACTACATCCTCCATGAATATTTTCTTCCAAATAACTCATTCACTCTCCCATGCATTTCTATGAAAAAATGCCCTATGATTTTTTCTTATGAGAATAATAATTTTAGCCCATAATTCTCTTCAATTATCTGAATTTAGCAACCACTGTTATGAAAGGATAATGTTTCAAGAGTCTGCCAACTCATCTATTTACATGAGGCCTCCCTCCAGAATCCTTCTTAGAGATTGATTTTAGATCTAAATTTTACGAGTTGAGAATCTCCACCATGGTGAACATGGATATAAACGAAGAAAGTAATTTTAAAAAATAAAAAATAAGATTTTTAATGCTTTCCATTTTAGGTTTTGGAGGGACCACCATCATCAAAACATCCTTCTTTGAGATGTGGATGTTTGATGCATCAGGGGACGCATATGTGGACTTGTGTCTTGTGACGCACTAAACACTTTTTCCTTTGTGGAGTACTTGAAATAAAATGGCCTATGATTCTCTTCAAATGACTGAAACGGCCAAACCTTGTATGATCATGTAGTACCAAGCAGCTGCATTCTTTTTAATATACTCAATATCCAAAAACAATGTTTTCCTTGAATATATGTAACCCGCTTCCCCGCCATATAACAAGCTGTAAAAAGAATAAAAGAAAAAGATAAATTTGTTGAAACTTTGGGCGGTTTATTACCTCAGCAGCTCCTTCATTGCATTATGGGTGGCATTCTTGTCCTCAGTTGTCTGTCCCTTTTCTGAATGTTGAATGGGTTTTTGGATTTTTCCTTGTGTAGTTAAACTTCAATTTATGTTTAAGAGAGGATTTAAATTAGATCACATGGCAAAGTCATTTGGATTCTGCAATGTCAGGGAGCTACAATAGTTGATCAGCCTGTGTGCATAGCTCGTTGGGGCCACTATGATGATGCGTTCGATCTGTGGGATCAGCCTTGGATGGTTGACAATGATTCGGCTTATATGGTACGCATCTCTCTCTCTCTCTCTCTGTGTTTGTGTTCTGATGTTTACATTTCCATATTTTGGTGTGAGTCACCATGGAAGCTTGAGCTCCCTTGCTGGTTATGTGCTCTGGTTCCATGTGGGGGAACCACCATGGATGCGATGTTATTCTCTCTCTCTCTGTATATGGCTACCCAATTTCTAGGAAACGCTTCGGTGGCCTGCTATGGAGAGAGAGAGAGGACACTGCATAAACCAATCCAGGACATGTCTGCGAGCAGACCTTTTATATAATAGTCCGATTTCAACTAAGAGCCCCTCAAGGACTCTCTCTCATTAGCCACTTCTCTACTGCCCAAACAGGCATCACACGAGAGCCACTTGGTCTCCACACCCGGGGAAGCCTTGACGATAGCTCAAGATGTAGTGAAAGCCATGGTCTCCAAAGGCTACGTTTTGGGCAAAGACGCTCTGATTAAAGCTAAAGCCTTTGATGAGTCCCACCACGTGACTGCTAGTGCTATGGCTAAGGCTGCCGAACTTAGCCGAAGAATTGGTTTAACTGACAAAATTGAGACAGGTGTTGGTGCTATACGATCAGTTGATGAGAGATATAGAGTGAGTGATACCACGAAGTCAGTGATCGAGGTAACTGGAAAGACTGCTGCTGCTGCTACGACTGCGATTCTTAACAGTAGCTACTTCTCAGCTGGGGCTCTATGGGTATCGGGTGCTTTGAGCAAGGCAGCAAAGGCAGCAGCTGATTTGGCAGTTCATGGGGCAAATAAGTAGAGAGAGAGAGAGAGATGGGTGATAGATAGATGTGCGTTTAGTTTAGTTTAGTGTAGAGAGAGAGAGAGAGAGATGGGTGATAGATAGATGTGCGTTTAGTTTAGTTTAGTGTATAAAGAGAGAGAGAGAGAGATTGGTGATAGGTGGATGTGGGTTTAGTTTAGTGTAGTTGAGCAAGACGGATGATAGGAGTGGCGGGCCTGGTGGGTTTAGTTCAGTGTAGTTGTATTACTGTGAATAGCTAAGGAGTCTGAATTGTGAAGTATGAAAAATATGAGATGTATAGAAGTTTAGATGGTGATCTTGTTGGTTCTTGGTTCTTACTGTGCAGTGAGAAAATGTCCATGGAAGCATTTCCCTGTTCATATGGCTCTTGGGCTGTAACAGATGCTTTATAGGAAACTATAAGGTGATGTTCTTATGGTTCTCACATTTGAAATGTGTGTGCGATCCAGGCCGTTCAAGTTTTTGTCGGTGTAGATCCAAGGGTCCACACAATACCAGGTGCAGGCCTTGATGCACCAAAGAGTTTTCCTAATCTTTACTCATTTTGTGAACTTGGTTGTGTGTATAGTATTTATAAAAAGATTGTATAAAGAGATTAATTATCTTTTATACATGGAGGTCATAATCATTCTCACTCATTAGATGTTAAATTGGATGGTTTGGATGAGCCATCCGATCTCCATCTACAAAAGATAAATGGTTTTTTTGTATAGAACCCCATTTATAAAAAAAACAGTTATTTGTGAGTCAGTGGGTGTTAGAGCCAGTTGACTCACCATCGTCTATATCTAATATGGACGTAAAAAAAGTAAAAAACCTAAAGCCACGTGGCTAAAGTGCATTTAGACGGTGTAGAAGTTTTCTTTAAAAATTCACATTTTAGATGTTGAATTTTTTTATTATTTTTTTTAGTTTTTTTATCGCAATTATTTTAACTTAATTCATGAATCTCTAAAATTTTGGATTAAAAATCTATTTTTAAGATAGGTTGAAGTAGGGGCCCGCATTTGTGCAGTATGAGTTGTGGTTATTCATAGAATCCCCTTCCTCTATAAAAGCCAAGAGATTATATGCTCGGCGAGAGAATAATACATGTTTATACCTTCGGTTCAAACTTCTTGGAAGTATTTTGGGACCCCCACGTTTCAGGGATCCAAATATGTAATATGTAATATCGTCAACGTATAGACAAACTTATGGAAAATTAATGCAAAGATTTATGCATTGTTTTGGTATGGAAAAACATAATATTCTACTATTGAGCATTCCAGTTTTTGGACGGTCAGATTTAAAAGTTTAGAAACACAAAACCCTTTTTCTTTTCTCTAGAAATGGTCAAATGTAATTCTAATGGATTTTTAAATTTTTTATTTATAGACTTCTCTTAGTTCTTTTGCTCAATGTATTAATTATGGTTTTTGAATGCTATAAAGGCTATTCATCTTTGATGCAAGGCGATCACATTTACTTGTATCAATCAAAAGTAAAATTTAATAATATGTAGTAGTCATAAAGTGTGAATTCTATTTTTTACTTTGAGCCCAATCATTGGGGCATTGCTAGCCAGTCAACTTTAAAAATATAGGTCAAAGTTGGTTAAATGGTTTTATTGTATATTTTCTCGTTTAGGGCCCATTTGGATACTTAAAATGTGTCCCTGAAGGCTCATTTCCATGGAGACTCGGTATTTCTGCAGTTTGGATGCCATCTGGACATGGATCCCTGAATAATAATAATAGACTCTCATAGAATAGAATAGAATACATCCATGTATTGCATTTGTATTCGACCAAAATAATAATAAAATTGTTATTATTATTATAGTTGTTGTTGCTTCTTGTTATATATTGATCCTATGTATACTATTATATTATTATGATGTTTATTAGTAATATATTTTATTATTATTTCATAATAATATTATTAATACTTACTATTATTAATATAATATAATAATAATATTTTTTATTAATAATAATATTGATATTTATTATATTAATAAAAAATTAATATTAATTAATATTATTATATCAATAATAATATTATATTAATAACATAATATTATTATAATTTTATACTAAAAATATTATATAATAGAATAAATAATACAATCCAAATTATTGACGGGGGCATCTTTTAGGTATCTTTTAGGTCTCTTGTTAGATGCTATCCAAGCAGCGGATATTAATATTCCAGTCAATTTCATGATAAGCATCTCCTAACGACATGCATCTCCAAGCATCCAAATAAAGCCTCGGGTATAATAATAAATATTAAAGACCTTGATAGCAATAGTGAAACGTAACTATAAAAAAGAAAAGAAAAAGAAAGGTTGAAACCCGCGTAACACATTATTTTCTTTTGAACGTTAAACTGATTTATTGGTTAACTTGGAAGTGAAGTATTGAACATCTCACAGTTTCAACATCAAGATTTCAAAATAAGCAATTTGATTTCTCTTGAAAATGGAAACTAGGAACTTTTGGATGGAATTCAGATGGAACTCAAATTTTATACTTGTTAAACGATATTTTCTAGTCACCCACCTTATTTACTCATATTTGCGCAAGTTTTATTTTTCAATGCTCCAAGTGGCTAGCTCATGAGTCCTATTGGACACATGGCGGGGGTATTCTTGGTTGTCTAGTCCAAAACAGTGAATCAACTATAAAAAACCAGCGGTTGCCAATCCGAAGTGGGAACCGGCCGAGACCGACCCATGTCCATGCCGGAACCGCAAATAGGTTGGGTGTCCTATGGACTCTCAATTTTTGTTAGGGAACTGGGCCAGCCTATTGGAGAATTGGGCAATCTGAACTGGCTGGATAGCTCGGTTCCTACTTATTATATTTATTATTATTAGTTTTTTTTTTCTTAATTTTTAATTTTATGGATAGACTCTCATAGAGGAAAATCAATTTGATTCGCCGATGCATATTAATTTACCCAGCCAATCTAAGTTTTTAAACACTGGTTGAAAATGACCGGTTTAGAGTGATAGAGAGGAAGTGAGAAGGTTCATGCATTTGATGATAGGAGAGAGACAGATATTGTGATATTTGTTTAGATATTGTGAAGTAGAAGGAAGGAAGATGAGATGAATCTATGGAGATAGAGTGGGTATCTGAAGTAGAGGTTTTTTTTTTCTTTAGGTAGCTAGGTACATAATTGTTGAGTGCGGAAGCTCTAAACCTAACGAGTTGATTCATTTACTTGGTTCACCTAAAAAGGCTAGGTCCACAGGACAAATTGAAAATCCACTATACCAATGAAAGTTACATAAAAAGTTTGGAACAAATCTTGACAAAAACCGAATGGAGCAAACTCCTTTTAAACCAGTTTCTCTTTTTTTTTATTTAAACAAGACCGGATAGAGACGTGAGAGCAACGGAAAATTGACTTTCTTTCTAACTAAAAGGGAAAACAACCTAAAAACTCTATGGGAACCACTTCTCTATAAAAAACAAACATCTCAATTCAATCTTCAGTAACATGCTTCGCAATATCTAGGAACAAGCCTTTCAATCTCTAGGAGTTTAGAGGAGGCACCATCACAATGTTTGTTTCTCTCCATAGGAAGCTCTCTTATCTAAGAGGAAATATGCACAGGAGGCTGCATCCCCCTCTCTCTAGAGGAAACCACAATTCCGATATAGTGACACAACAAGAGCGCACATTCCCTTTTTAAAAATAGCCTATTATATAGAGAAAAGAGATTCACAAAAAAGGTTAAGGTGATGACCCTTTTATTCCTTTTTTTTATTAAAACTAATTTTTGTCTCTTTAAATATGGGCCTTCAAGTTTATACTAATCTAAATAGAAAATATCTCAATCCCACATAATTTGAGAATATCTCAATCCGACATAATTTGGGAATATCTTAATCCCACATAATTTGATAATATCTTAATCCCACATAATATGAGATTTCCTTTTGCTAAAAAATAGTGTTTTCCATTAATTTTCTCTTTGCTGCCATACTGAAAACCCCAAACCGAGCTTTAATACTACTTGTTGAGAGTTGAAGCTCTAAACCCAACAGGTTAATTTTTGGTAAATAAAGTACCAGAAATAATGTATAAAACACAAACCACAAAAACACAAACATTTACGTGGTTCATCTAGAAGGGTTAGGTCCACGGGCACGATAAACTTAAATCCGAAATCCACTATCCGAATGAAAGTTTGGCAAACTGAAATCCAAAATCTACTATACGAATGAAAGTTACATAAAAAATTTGGAACAAACCTCGACAAAAACCAAATCTAGTAACACCAGAGATGCGAGAGTTTTCCTTTTCTTTAAGCAACACCAGATAGATACACGACAGTAATGAAAAACTGACTTTATCTCTAACTAAAAGGAAAAACAACCCAAAATCTCTATAAAAAGTTTTCAATGTTCTCTCCATAAATCCAACAATAACCACTCATAAGTTTTTAAAAACCAAGTAACCTATATGTTCAGCACCACAAGCACAAGCTTCATTAGGCAAATTTAAAGCTAGACTATAAGAGAGAAAAGTTTGCCAAATAACCTATAGTTTTTGGGGGAAATTATAAAAGATATTTGTATTTTCAAAAAATATAATCATGTTTTAAATTTATGTCTAAACACAATTTCTCGCAGTTTTTTTTTGCATTTTTTTTACACCTAAAGTACCCTTCACGGATATGATGGGGCACTTTTTTTTTTGTTTTTCTTTTCTTCCTTCTTTTGAGAACCCGAGTTTTATAAAAGGGAAATGTTTCTATACTTCCCATACAACATAGAATCTATGCTTCCCCTACCATCCAGCTGTCCAATTTTTATCGAGAGAGCCACTCACCGTTGGATCTTAGATCTGACGTCTCAAGTTTTTTTTTTTTTGAAGTTTTTTTTTATACAAATTGTTTGAATATGAAATTTGGTATGTGCTATCTTCTCATTGTGGTGCCCTATAAAAAATATTAAAAATAATTTTTCGATAAAATATAATGATCAAAATACCCCTTAAAGCTTTCAGAGGTATATTTTTCGTTAGTACGAGTTTAATAGAGGATTGGACGTCCAAAAATTGGTGTCAAAATATTTTATAAAAAAAAAATTAAAAATAAAATAGTGTAGAGACGTGACATTATGATTGGGACAATCTTAGCCCCTATTCAGAAAGGACGGTTGGATAAGAAGAAGTATATAAGTTTTATGCTGTAAAGAAATCATAAAAAACTTACCTTTTATAAAAACATCTAGGGACGTAAAACTTTTGGGAGATTTAAAAACCATACAACTAAATGCGGAGTTGGTAACCAAAGAGGAAGCAACGATTAGAATTCTTGTTTTGCATATTCACATTGCTAGTGTTCAACCACTTTTTTTGTAGCAACATCAATGGAAAATAGAAAAACAGAATTGAAGAAACTCACGAGATTTTGTTGTGTATCACATGCCTTATTGGAAAGTAGACATATATTGTTCTTTTATTGTCCTGTTATTTATTGTCAGTTTAGGCATATATCCACACATGAAATATGAAAATGTTTATATATAGCTTAGGCTTTATTAAAAAAAATAGCGTGGTGCTGAGCAAGTCCACCTGAAAAGATTATGTTGATGTTACCCTCAAATTGAACGTCCATCTCTAAGATGGACAGTAAGAAAATAGCATCCAACTAAAATATGCAATCAGCAGTGTGAAAAATTCAAAAATTGGAAAAATCACTTTGACATTTAAGCAGGTCAACAGTACACTTTTAGCTGCCCTATTCGCATCTAAGTGATTAAGAAATAGTCTTAATCACTTAGCCTAAAAATTTCCTTTACACTGATTACTTTGCAGTGGTGCCCTATGGGGAAGAGACACGTCGTTATTTTACCTTCAAAACATAAATAAGTGAACTTCTGATAAAAACATAGGTTCCCCCTTAAGAAGCAATATCCTTTTATCTTTGGTACAAATGTCCCCTAGAGAGTGTCCGTGGTGGTGTTGTTTTCTTTTTCTTTTTTTTTTAAAAAAACGCCAAAGCAGGCATCATGCGTTACCATGCAAATGTAAATATACGTCCCCCGACTCATATATTGAAAGAAAGACCTATGTAATCTTATACCGAAAAAATACAATTTTTTTTTAATAATAATCACTTTTTATAATTTTGGCAATAAGATCACCCACAAGTGGTCTTATAACAAACAATAGAAATTCCAAAAAAATAAATAACTCACCAATAAAATAAATTTCAACTATTTGATGCCATTCATACAACCTAATACTGTGTTTAAGAATATAAAATAAAAGAACAAACAATTAAAAGAAAATATGTCATAGATTACCTCAACCAGGCTTTTTACACCCCACATCGAGTCAGCACATCCAATGACGCGGGATCAGCAGTCCAGCTTTATCTCGAACCGAAAAAGCTAATTTTGGCTAAACTAGGTAATCACCTTTAAATCTCTGCAAAACCCTAACTCCAAAAAAATAGGCTCAAACCCTAATTTTTCCTAACCCTTAGATTAGATCATGAGAGAGAGACTCTCTATGTTGGGGTGTGCCCCCTAGGGTCCTTTTTAGGGGGGAGAGAGAGAGTAGAGAGAGAGAACAAGAGAATTGAAAGAGATGGGCGTGGCCTCTAAGGAAGAGCGAGAGAGTTTATGGGAGAGAGGTGCGTTGAGATGGGGAGAACACCTCTATTTATAGTGAAATTTAGGTCTAAGGTTTATTTAGGGTTTCTCATAGTTTACCTTTTTATTGAGATTGAATATAAATCGTTGATCAACGTGACTTGTGGGGTGAGAGATCTGAGCCATCCATTCCATAGATGGGCCATCAACATTATGGAAGGTGCATGAACTATTATCTCCCTTTCCTTAAACTATTTTTTCATCAATATATTTAAATAAATTAAATCCATTAAAGACATAGTACATACCATAAATTGCATATTCTATCTCATATTTTCCATAATAATATTTCAATAATATCAAGTCAAGATATTCCTTCAATAATCAAGATAAGATATGGTCAATATTTCCTAAAATATCAAATGACATACAAAAATTCAAATAATAAAACTAAAATAATTTAATAAAATCAACACAATTAAATTAATATGATGGGAAGTTGATACATATGGTTCAGGAATTCAATCAACGATTACGGGATACTGCACCTTCAACTGTGGACTACAAACTACACTTGCTTTATCGAACTGATCCAGTATTTCTCATGACCCACAGTCCAAGCAGGGCTCATTAGTGGGTCGCCAAAGTTTGGTCAATGAGCCAAAGAGTCACAATCCCAGTCTGTGGATTACATGTCCTCTCTTAAAGACAAGTCAAGGTCACCACGAACTGATGCGACCACAGCTCTATGTCGCATAGGGGTATCTCTCGCACATGCATATGTTTTACCCAAAGGTGGATATCTAGCTTTTTCGAACGATCTATCTATATGCATGTCGTGTGATGAAATAAGGATGAGGTTTTGGCTCCCATCTCTGTAGGCCGACCATCACACACAAGGGCACACAGTCCCTCGGCTCACTCGTTTAGGCATAAGCTCCGACCTCATCAAGGGCTAACTCGAAAACCCTTCTCAGTTTATTTTTTATGCCCAAGTACTTTGGGTTTTTCAACCGACTAGCCTAGATCGTCAAGCACAATTCGTTATCCACAAATATCATTTGCTTAGTATGGTCTTCGAGAGACCACACTCCCACTGAGTTTATGCTCCACTATAGTAAAAGTTTTTTATCGCATACTCATAAAGCCTTTAAAAGTCACATAAACCCAACATATACTACTTTTTGAAATTTTAATTAATCAATCTGTTATAAAAAAACAAAAATTTGTCTTATGATTACAAAGCAACTGTTCATATCAGTGTTTTAAAACCTCGATTTCTGATTTGGGTCGCTGATCTAGATCGAAATCGGTTAGTAGTAAGGTCCTGACTCGATTCTTCCCTAAAACCCCTTATATATATATTTTTTTTCTTTTTTTTCAACTTATCTAATATTTTCTTAGTTCATCTCAAGGTCCCCATCCCACAAACCTTTATTTTAATTTTAAGTTTTCTATTTATTTTTTAAGGATCACTGATTCAATTCAATCTAGACTTACCTGGATCACTGAGATCCAACACGGATCTATGGTTGAATAATCCACCCCACCATCCGAGTTTTAAAACATTGGTCCAAATTTTGGATGGTGAGATGGAAATGTCTGAATACTCGTTTGGTGATCGTAAATTGGATTCCAAATTTTCGTATGATAAGAAATATACAATACACTCCCACGGGATTTAGAATTAAGTGCTCGAGAAAACAAAATTATTGGAGAATCATCCTTCCTTCTTTGTAACGAAATCCACTGAAATTTCAGACGAAATCCAAAAATAGCGAAATTAATGAAGTCGGAAGTGCGAAACGGAGAAGCCGGATAACCAGCGGCCGGAAATAAAACACGGCGAAATCCAAGGCCGAGTAACCCAGACATACAAGTCGATCCAAAGCCATTAAAAGTTACACGTACTTCTCTCTCTCTCTCTGACCCTCTCTCCCTCCGTTTTTTTTTGAATGTAATCTCTCTCTCTCTC